TGAAGACAAAGAAAACTTAAATTATCAAGAAAATAAATGTATGCAACTTCGAAAACATTACTAAGAACTACCATTTTCTACAATTTGAACTGTAGTTCTGATTTTAAAGAAATGTGCAATCAACAGCAAATGTCAGCCTTAATATTGCATTTACTGAAACATTTTAATTGAAATTTAATCATTTGACACTTTTACAATCAACAGTTTCTTCTTCCATGCTTTTATTCTGACATAGAGGCCAGTTCCTTCCCCTACTACGGTTGTAGTCATCCTACTTAGCATTGTGGGTGTAGTCTTGTCATTTACATTTGAGGCATGCCGTGTAGTAATCTCTATGCAGGAAACCAAGAAAAAGCCGTCAGCGTAAAGGGCTGGCTGGCAGAGCAACTCAGCACACACTTCCACACCCAAGTTATGAAGACTTAGTGATATTCAGCTTTTAGATTTTAATCGCAATGGAATTTTCTCTCTTGGAGGGAAGGAAAATACTATTCATAAGCCTCCCATGGGCCAGAAGCAGTAATATTTTGGCATGTTAGCCTGATTCAGGACTACAGAAACCATCAATTGTAATGTCACGGTATGGGGAACTAGTTATTTTCTTCTAAATATAAATATTTAAACCAAATCAACTTCAAGTGTCTTTCTGCTAGCTGTATACAACAACAGAAGTAGGCAATACTGCTGTGTATAAAAAACAGTTGCTGTGCCACTTAATTTTAAAATGGGTATAGAATTTCTACATTTCTACTGATTGGGTCAAAAGTAGTGACCATTCATGTCTAATCAGCACAACCATGCTGGCAAATACTTTCTGTAATCTAGCCTCAGAATTTTAAAGAAGTCAATGACCGGATCAATATGCCAGAACAACAACTAATATAAGATTTACATAAAAATTCAGAATTAATTTTAATAATGGTTAAAAACCCTTTCTCATTCTGTTCCAGCATTGGTGCATCTACAAAATTCAATAACCTTTCTATTGCTATACTGCTGATTATAATTTCATTTAAAAAAAGTGGAGTGCCTGGTAATATTTTCAAAAAATCAGATGTGGAGGGGAATACAGTAGGGGTAGATGGAGACAGATTAACCATGAGAGATGATAGTTCTGATGTGGTTGTGGCTGGACAGAGACAGACTAACCATGAGAGACAGTTCTGGTGTGGTTGTTGCTATACTGTTTCCAACATCCACTTTTACGCTTTGTAAACTAGAGCAGAGAAGGTAAAGTTTTAAAATAAAATAAATGACAAGTGGTAAATCTGCTGTAGAAACCTTGTTCATGTAAATTACACAATAGCTGTAATAGTCTTTTTAAAATACAGTTTCATCATTAGAACTTTCAGCTGCATTAAAGGGACGCAGTTAACTTAAACTTGTTAATTTGAGAGTTAATACTTGACTACTTTTATCTGCCCCTGTGCCTCCTGCCACATTTTGTGATTTTTTTTTAATTATTTTTTTTAATTTCTTGCCGGTGGCTGTGCCAAAACTCTCCAACGGTGTGGGAAAGTGACTAAACTAACTAGGCACAAAATAATCTGTGGTACAACACTGTGCTGGGAAGCAAAGGGACATAGGATGCATCCTTACTTCCTGTATTATCCAGCAAGATAGCAGCGTTCACAAAGCTCAGGATATGAGCCCTAGCTATGTACGAGATTTCTTCTTGACACTTGTACTGACACATGTTTGAGCTCTGACACCACTCTCCTTTCTAGAGTTCCTAACGTACATCAGCTGGTGATTGTGACTTGATGTGAGTTAGTCTCTGACATCAAATTTGGCCCATCCTACTCCACTTTTGTATTTGTTACTGTAATGAAGCTTACTACAGAGGGAGTGTTCTGGCAGCAAACTGTGCTGTTATCGGAGATCACAGTTCAGGTCAGTACTGTAAAGTGGGTATGTTCAGCGTTTCTGGCATTTGGGTATTGCACAGAACCAGAACATCCTATTGGCTGATATGAAATACAAGAAAAACAACTACCAACATCAGAGGGAGAAGAGAACACGGGGACGCATCATCACAAAGGTTTCAAACCTAGTAAGCTGCTGCCCAGAGGGATGCAAAAGGAATTTGTTACCAGCAGAAACAATAAAAGATGACTTTGCAAACTCATGTATACTTACCAAATGACAACTATAAATAAAATGGTGAGAACCTCAGCACTGTGAATATCTTTAACACAAGCAGCTGTGCAGTGAGTGTTCAGGGACTCCTGGCAATTACCTAGGTGTTAGAGTATAAGCTTATATGTGGGGAGAGGGTCGGGAGGGAGAATTTGGCGCAAACTCCCTTTATACCATGAATCAGTTGCACAATTGACCCCTTAGATTGAACAAAGCAATCACTCTATATCTGACCTATCAGTCCACATCCTCAAAAGAAACCTGCACAACACTTTCAAAAGACACATCTGGGAGCTTTAATTCATAACTTTGCTAGACACTAAAAATCATGGTTTTAAAAAAGACACTGGACTTAGGCTTTATTTCAACCATCTGTAACCCACTAGTCCCCTCCCCCCTTTTTTTTTTGTCCAATGACTGCAGGGGTTTTAGTGGGCTACTTCACCTTGAATGGTCCTATGACTGCAGGGGTTTTAGTGGGCTGCTTCACCTTGATGAATGGTCCCTTAGAATACGTGCTAACTACTTATGCTAAATTGTCTGTTCAATCTAGTATTTAGCTGTGTTGCTCGCCGTACATTTCCCAGACCTGAAGAAGAGCTCTGTGTAGCTCAAAAGCGTGTCTCTCTCACCAGCAGAAATTGGTCCAATAAAAAAAATTACCTCACCCACCTTGTCTCTCTAATATCCTGGGATTGACATGGCTAGGACAACACTGCATACTAAATAAATCCACGTAGTAATAAATAATATAGTATAATCAAGTCAAGCCATCCAATACTATATCACACTACTCATCTTCCTTTTCAGCGATATTTCACATACTTTCTATTAGTGGACATTTATTTACTAGTTCCCATGCAATATAAAGGTAAGCTCTGTGCAATTAGTTTGCTTTACGAAGCTTTCTGTATGATGATGCACCTGCATTATCTGAGGTTTTTAACTTGCCACAAGGCTCCTGTTCTACAGGGATTCTTTATTTTATATCCTAAGCATACCAAAGCCATTGCAAGTAGCTAAATAAGAGGTTTCTTTGGAAATTCAAATCTTTCCTATAAACTCCACCCATAAAGTCAGTAAGTGTAAATATACTTCCTAAGAAATGCTGTGCAAAGAAGGTATTAAAAATGGCAGCAGTTTCAAGCACTGAGTCTAGGCTGTTGTCACAGCCTTGACAATAAGTCACATGAAAGCCTCATTTGTAGCTTATGTAACTCGTTTTCCTGTGACTCTAGCTCAAACTCTGTTGTTTTTTTCTTTTCTGGAAGACAGCCTCTCCCTCCCTTCATATGATGGTTGACTGAGTATAGAGAATTATGGGCCCTCCAGAACATGTTTGAGGCATATTGATAGAAAAGTGTGGTAGTTTTTTGCTCTGTTGCTATCTGTGGTGTATCTGTGCTTTGGCTAAATAGAGGATAATCTCGGATCCAACACACCTGTTACCTTGCAAGACTACTGACAATTGCTAAAACTTTGATTAAAAAAGAATATTTGTGTGACACTGAGCAAAATTGTCAAAAGCCCGCACCCAAGTTGTGCCTCTTAGACCTGCCCATACATCAAGTGATTGCACAAAACAGCCCTTTTGATAAATACTATTTGCACAAAACGCTTAAAACTTATTGAGCAAATAGTATTTAATGTGCAATTTTCTGACTTGCATACACAGGTATATAGGTGGTTGAGCTTGTACGCATCTGAAAATTGACCTTAAATATGCTAATACGGTGGAATATTAATACGGTGGAATATCTTCCAGGTTAGAGGACATCACTGTTCCACAAAGAATCTGAGTTGAGATTTCCCTTCCCCACATTTTTAACACTTGTCACCAAAATGTCATGACATTTTCATGTCTTGATAGTGAAGATCCCCCCTTCCCCAATGATGGTGCTGCTGTGACATAAGGACCTTTTAAGGGAAAGGTCACTAGGTGTAACAAAGTATTACCTATATATTCCTAGTCAGTTCACCTTTTTTAAAAAGTTCCCTGCACATTTGTGTATTGCATATTTTTATCCCCTGTGGCTGGCATCTAAATTTACTGAACCCTCATGCTAAATTTAGTAAACCTGTTGTGTGAAAGAATTAAAACTGGCAGCACTAAAAGGAGCCCAATATCTGAACGCTTTGGGCAATGAGGTGACTGAGTGTCTCCTTATCCAAATGTTTCGTTTTTGAGCTTTAGAGGTGAAAAATTTCAGGATTTTTTTTGTTGGGGAAGGGGCGGGATGAGGGGGAGAAATGGCCTTAGATCCCATAATTCTGAAACTTATTTCCCGCCTGTATTCATGTCACTTTGGGTTTTGCTCTGTCTCATTTTAAGCCTCTACCTGATGGGGGTACTGAATAGGATTGGCTGCAAACTGAGCAAGCTACCTTATATCTCAGTGCCATTGATTTCTTTGGTTCCAGGAAACAAACATATTTTCCCTTGATCCAACTTTGGGAAGCTGTAGGAGTCTGAAGACACTTATTAGATGGCTTCCATTTAAACTGACAGCTAGGGACTTTATTACTTGCTGTACAGGCAGCCCTACCTTGTATAGGGAGTCTACTTCAGTACAACACCAGTTGTAAATGGAAGAAAGATTTACTTGCCTCAGTCACGGTCATCCTTTAGATGTTACACAATAGTGCTTGGTGCATCCAGACTGAATGAAAATAATATAGATATTAATAGGCCACTTACACTATTCAACATTGTAGTGGACAGATAGGCATTGGGTACATGGCACTAGAAATGAATTACAGCAGTAGCTAGTCAGCATGGTTACTTTCTTTTCTGACTATAAATGACACTTAGTTATAGCTGGGTGCATCAAGATTAATGTCAATGCATTTTCTTGTTATAGGAGCAGCTTACTGCCAGTTCATGGACATGTTGTTCCCAGGGTGCATTAGCTTGAAGAAAGTAAAATTTCAGGCAAAGCTGGAGCACGAGTACATTCACAATTTCAAACTTCTGCAAGCATCATTTAAAAGAATGAATGTGGATAAGGTAAGTTTTTAATATTTAAATAATTGTAATGTTTTACAAAACAATTTTCTATACTGGGTGATGTACAATGGACATTGGGAACCAAAATGAAAAATGACCAGACCTAGTTTTTCAAACTCTAAAACCTGAATTGGAGATCCCAGTTCTGTATTTAGATGCTCTCACTGGCATTTTGACGTCTAAAGTGGGTATTTGGGTACAAAGGCAGAAAATGTGTAAACCGGGACCCTTAGTATTCAAGGTGAAAAACTGGGCCCATAATAGTTAGCTGTCAATAATTTAAAAATTACCACTCATTAGGTCCCCGAGTTCACGAGAGGGCCTCGTAATAAAATGCTGTCCATTGGAAGATCCTTAAAATGAATAAATACTGTGATCCTCAGAAGGTGAGGGGAAAACTTAAGGTCATGTGTGGTGACACCCAGAATTCCCAATAGAGGTAAACAACAAGCATTCTGTATCTATTGTTGTATTGAATACTACTTACTCAAGGTAGGATATGAAGAGTTGTACATTTTTAACTATTGGAACAACTTCCAAATGATGGAGAATCCACCATGTTGTTTGGTAAGTCATTAAACCAAGATTAGATATCTTTCTTCAAACAAACAAACTACCTCAACCTCAAGATATGGGCTTGATGCTTCTGTGGCCGAATTGTGAAGGAGTTCCGGAAGTAGATGATCCTACTAGTTCTTCTGGCCTTAAAACATATGAAACTATGCAATCTATCCAGAATTTCCTTTGAACATTACCTATGAACAAATCAAACCGTGCCCTGCCTGGCTTAAATGTAGAAAACCTATAAAATATGTAATCAGCATTTTGTCCAAGCAGGTCAACTTTCCTAGCAAAATACACATTGACAAATTAAGCTTTTTTCAATGTTTGTTCTTTGTGTTGTTTAGTCTCTCACCTGTTGTGCATTATTTGTTCTGTAAAACTAAATATGTCTTTACTTTTCCTTTCCTTGACTTTAATCAGTCATGTTGACCCATCCTCTGTGTTCCCCAGGCTACTTCCCCTTGATACAGTCAGGTGTATATTCTGTGTGCAGATAGGATCCTATCACACGTTTTACTCAGACTAAATTTGAAGTGGTATAAAATTAACTGTTTCTCAACATGAATTTGCCCAGTTTATGTAAGCAGTAGCAACATGAGAAACTAAACTGAATAAAAGTGAATAAGTTTAAAATGCGGTCATGTTTCAGTTCTGCATGTACAAAATATCTATATTTGTAAAGGTTTATCCAAAAAAAGGTTTTATGCCTGCTTTTAACCTTTTTATTCTGAATCTTAAACTGTTTTTAAAAGCACTATATTTTGAATGAATGTTATAGGACTTTTTAATACTAATTCATTATTACCATAATGCTACAGGTGCTTCTGTTTAAAATGGGTTCTTTCAGCAAAGCATTGAAAAGCCTAATAAAGTTGATTGTCATTTCTTTTTTTTATAGGGAATAACCTCATTGTTTGCCAGTGTGTCATTAAAAATATAAACATAACAGACTGAGGGAATATTGTACAAAATGTGACATGATCTGTGAAGTACAGGCTAGCTTTTAGTTTTTTAAAACACTGTTGCCGGTTTAGCCTTGTAATTTCCATTCCCCCTGAGACTCTGGGCACCCCTTTTCCAGTTGAAGATTGGATTCTCTTCTGATCCACTCAACTTTCAGCAATGTGGACTGTTGCTAAGCAAGCCATGGTGGCACTTCCAGCATTCCTACAGTAGTCCTTATCTGCCCACTGAAACTGGGAATGGGAATTGAATCCTGATCTTCCAGAGAGCAGGGCAGAACCCTATCTTATGCTGCAGTATTAGGATTTAATCAGTTTCATTAGATTCTTCATGTTGCTGAAGAATTCACAAGATATTGATACAGAAGAAACTTTCTCACAGTCTCCATTATAGCTCATTAAAACTTCATGGGCAATTTCCCAAACTCTTGCATGTAAACAAACCATTCTATATACAGCATGTATGGAAGGGTGGGGGTTGGAATGGTCAGGTTAGTACCTCAGTATTAGAATGAGTGTGTATTTCAAAAATATAGGTGAGTTTGAACTCCATTGTGTCTTTTTTAAATCCACTGCTTCACTACAGAGGCGGTGAGGAGAGTGCCAAGGCATAGCAGTATTGGTTGGTGACACTCTTCTTGCACAGGACACAGGTGGGCAGAATGCTTCTGAGGATTTTGTGGGAGTGCACCAAGGAGCAGCTCCTTTCCCTTTTGGAGACATACAGTATCGTGGGCACCCCACTTTAAGAAAGATGTGGACAAATTGGAGAGAGTCCAGAGGGGAGCACCAAAAAAAAAAGTTCATGACTGATGAGGAAAGGTTGAAAGAATTGGGCATGTTTAGTTTAGAGAAGAGAGGCTGAAGGAGGATGACATAAGTCTTCAAATGTGAAAAAGGTTGTTATAAAGAGAATGGTGATCAATTGTATTCATGGCCACTGGGTGTAGAACAAGAAGTAATTGAAAAAATGTCCAGCAAGGGAAATTTAGATTCGTTATTAGGGAGAACTTTTTAACTGTAAGTTAAAGAACTGGAATAGTTAAGTTAAGAACTGGAATAGGTTATCAAGGGAGGCTGTGGAATCCTCATCATTGGAGATTTTTAAGAACAGGTTAGAGAAACACCTGTCAAGGATGGTTTAGGTATACTTAATCCTGCCTCAGGACAGGGGGAGCAATTAGATGATACCTTGAGGTCTCTTCCAGCCCTAAACTTCTATGATTCCGTGAGCCTTTTGCAGACACACCCAGCACTAACGGTGCTTACATAGGTTTGTCTAATGAGAACACTTGAGATTCTGTTTCCCCACCGTGAATACACAGGGCAGTGTGAAAGAGGATTTCCTGTGTTCTGAGAGTTCCTTGCACACCTACTCAGGGCAAGCCAGAATCTGACTCTTTGCTTTTTGAAGAAATTGTTCAGTTTTAGGACATACATCTGATTGCATGAAAATTTGTTAGTTAAAATCTTGGACAGACTCCCAGTTACTTGTTGTTAAAGATGGCAGTAGTTTCAGACTGGCTACATGCAGCCCAGTTGTCACTCAAACCTAAAAGGAGCATAGCTGAGGAAGAACAGTAATTAGGTCTGCACAGGCCTAATTTTAAAGTCCATCCCAAACTTGAGTAGCTCATGGCTGTCCAAATCCAACCAGAGAGTCAAGTTGTTTTCAGACCTGACCCAACCCAAATCTGACACTCCTCCCCCCCCCCCCCTTCCCAATCTGTGTCAACACTGCTGCCATTTCATCCTTGAGGTTTGGCCTGGTGGGGGCTCCCCACACCCTGTGCCCACAATCCATCTCCATCTACCTCCTGCTTGTGGGGTCGTCACAGTAGTGTCTGCATGTACCGGTGCAGCCGGCTGCCCCCGTCTCACTGCGCTGTGTGTGCTACAGCATAATAGATGTTACAGTTCCTCAGCACGCTCGCTCCATGGTGCACACAGCACAGCACGACCATGGCCAGCAGGAGCAGGGCACTCAGCAGGCTCCGCCACCTTGCCTCACCGACCTCATGGGCAGGAGGAGATGATGAGAGACTAACCGAGTCAAGCCCAAATGTGTTGGGTTGTTTTCAGACCTGAGCTGAACCCAACACTTGTATATGGGGTCCCATGGGGTTTGGGTCAGGTTGCAAGACTCTCTACTATGGTATCATAATACTGGTACTTCTACCTTTTAGAAGAACATGCACTATTGAGAGGTTAACTTAACGTTGTTCATGGAAAGGTACTGCTAGAAAATGAGTATTTAAAAGGGCTTTATATATATAGCTACACACAAAGCTGAGAAGACCGTAACCATATAACTCTAAATCCAGAGTGATGCAGGAGACACCACACTGGTAGTTAAATTGTTAGATAATTTGAGAAATATGTATGTACTGGCAATGCAGTGTTACTGGAACCGTTTACCATTGTATTTTACAGGTGATTCCAGTGGAGAAATTGGTGAGAGGGCGCTTCCAAGACAACTTAGATTTTATCCAATGGTTTAAGAAGTTCTTTGATGCCAACTATGATGGTAAAGAGTATGATCCTGTCGTGGCTCGACAAGGCCAAGATGCTCTTCCCCCACCAGATCCCGGTGAACAGATCTTTAACTTACCAAAAAAGTCCCATCATGCAAACTCCCCCACTGCAGGTATTGTAAATCTTGGAGATTTCCATTCCCATTTTACAGATAATGGTATAGTAATGTCTTAATCTGCTGTCAATAGCTTATATAAATATGGGGTCAAATTAGAAATGGTGTTTCAACAGCCACCACGCTCTTTGTGTTTGCATTTTGCACTATCTGGGGCTCACCATCCTAGATTACATAAATGGACTTTTTGTGGGCAGTCATTTTGTTGGTCTGTTTTGACTTGCCACATCATTACTGAAGATTTCGCGGTCTGGGAGATAAATCCCATGACTCCAGTGTACCTAATTTTGGAGACAAAGCCAATTGACTGTTTTGCTTCTGAGCCTAGGTGAAATAAACTACTCAAGAATGTAACAAATAGTTCCCCCCACCCCCCCATCTTCACAGGAAATTGCAGGCGTAGTCTGGTTTTCTGGTGACTGGAACACTTCCAGATCCTAAGTGCTCGCCCAAAAGCAGAAAATAGATTAATTTGTATTTTTAAATGTGCTGATCATTCAGACACAGTAATCTTCTAAGTGGGCCCCGTACAGTAATGTCCTATGTCTTCAAAGGCATCATTGATTTTTTTATTATTATTATTACTTGGCATGTATCGGAAATGGGAAAAAGCATCAAAGATCCATTTCACAGTTGTTCCTACACTATCCATAGAGAGTGTGGGTCACAAAACAGATACTTTTTTATCACTTTGACTAAACCAGGGAACAAGAGAGCAGCAGAAACATCTTAAAAATAACCCTAAACATGTAGTGCAATCTCGTTGCTTTAATCTGTTTTTCATAGTTTTGGGGTGAGAGTAAGTCCTTTCCCAGCCTGCTCTCAAATAAAATCCACACGCTGTTTAGAGTCAAATACTCACCCTTTCCTGGAGTTTACCTTCAACATTTACATTAACAATAACATAAAGTTCAACTCAAAACTCCACCCCAAGCATGGCTGCTTCTACAGTTCCTTCCTCAGTCCACACCTTAGATCCAAGAGCTGGAACGTGCTGCTCCCTACTCTCCCTTATATCCGTGTGGGGTTGAACCACCTACCTCCATGAATTAGCAACACTCACTTAACCCACTTTCCCAGCAAGGTCAACATCTGCTAGCGCAGTGGGGTGTTTCAGGCAAACACTGCCAGCTTCTTATGCTGGGTTTGTAACACATCTGCATTTTGGTTTTGTACCTCCTATATTTTTAACCTTTCGTTCTGAATTTCTGAGGAGCTGGTGCCTTTTGTGTACTTAGGGATGGCCATAGGTGTGTTGTCACATAGGGTGGGACATAGTTTTGATGCCCCTGAACGGCTAAACAAAAAAAAAACCCAACCTTATTAGGTGCGCACACACCCCACATCATTCCCGGTGATGGTTTGGCACCCAGGGCAAGAAACCTGATAGCCAACCCTATGTGTACTTCCCTGAGTGGTAGTTCCCTACCACCCTTCAAAAAAGGAAAATTGCTAAGTTCTATTGCTAATTCAAAGTGAATGGTTTTAAAAATACTTCTTATTAATAAGTGTAAGCTTAATGTGGATGGCAAAACAGACCATCTGCAGAGGGAATTCGTGAGTGTTGCTAATACCTGGAAGATTCTGAGGGAATGGAATAGCTTTCAGTATTTGAACTGGGCAAGAGAGGTGTGGGTGGTAATGCCATATCCTCAGTCTTCAGGCTGCTGCTACTTTGAAGAAGAAAATGAAAAGTGACACTGGAGGAAAAACTGAGACACATAAGACATTTCTCCAGTTCAAGCGTTGTGTGGGACAAATAAGAGGTCTTCTGACAATTTCTACACACTCGGGAAGTACATGGATTTCCTTTCCATTGATTTAAATATAGTCCAGAATTACAGTGTTTATCTGCAAAGCTCTTTTGATATTTTTTTCTACCAGATGCTAAATGGAGAATTTTTGTGTATTTAAAACATTTGTTGTCCATTATATCTAGAACAAGATTCTATGTTTAGTCAAAAGTGTTGGTAGCTCATTGGAAAGTAGGTTTAACCCATTGAGTAACGTGTATTTTAGTTTCACCAATATGTCATGTGTTAAGTCATGTAAATTGCACTGTCTAAAGGAATAAGGTCTCTTATTGGATGAGAATACTTACACTTCCCAATATAGTCCCAAAAGGAATATATCCTATGTGTATATATTAGGGCTGTCAAGTGGTTAAAAAAATTAATCACGATTAATCGTGCAGTTAAAAAAAAATCACGATTAATTGTGCGATTAATCGAACTGTTAATAATAGAATACCGTTTATTTCAATATTTTTGGATGTTTTCTACATTTTTAAATATATTGATTTCAATTGTAACACAGAATACAAAGTTTACAATGCTCATTTTATATTTATTTTTGATTACAAATATTTGCACTGTAAAAAAACAAATGAAACCTAGCATAGGCAGTGCATAATGGAGACTGTGGGAGGCTAAGTCTCCCCAAACCTCGCACCGTCGTGGTGGGGAGTGGAGACAGTGGAAGATTTGGGGCACCCTGAAAAATTTCCCTCTATCACAGCCCCAGGGCTGGAGGAGCTCTCACTCTGGAGCTGCAGTGGGGGCACAGGCCTTTTCCGATCTTGGGGTGGTGGGGGAGGGAGTTGGTGGGGGGCCTGGCCTCACAGGGAAAGAGGCAGAGTGGGGATGGAATGGGGGCAGGCCCATGGATGAATGGAATGGGATGGGGCTGCAGTGGAAGGGGGGAGGGGCTCCGGGCTCTGCTCTTCAGCCAGGGAAGAGAGCTCTGCCATAGTCCCAGCAGAGCTCTCAGCCCTCCCTCCCCTGGCTCCCCCCCCCCCCCCCAACTCCTTTGGCGAGGGCCACTGGGGCGGGGGGCTGAGAGCAGTGAGTGGAGGCAGGCCCTCGGCCGGAAGAGGTGGGCAGGGGGCTAGCCTCCCCAAGGGGAAGCGTCATCCACCACCCATAAAACCTAGGATGAGAAACTTAAAATTGCAGATACTAGGGCCTGGCAAAGAAACTACAAGAGCTCCTAGGCCCCTTTCTGATGCTCTCCTGAAGTAGGTAGGCAGCAGAGTGATTACTTGGATTATGTCAGTGCAGGGACTGCCCTGAGGATGTAGTTGTGTGAATGGATATTAATTGCATGTGCCTATAAAGATAGCTGCATTCTGTCCACTGCAATCAAATCATTTTGTGGGATTTTCAGATGCAGTCAGCATTGGTCTAACTTTTGTTCCTGTTGAAGTCAGTGGTAAAACTCCCATTTACTTACGTGGGGGCATAGTTAGGTCAATGCTGCATGCTTTTGAAAACTTTACCTTTAATGCTCTTTGCATGCATGGTGCATTGTATTAAGTTGCTTTTAAAAGCAATGAGAAATAAAGCAGATGCCTTTTTGACTATTAACATTAGTTTGCTCGCAAAATGCTAAATTATATGATGAGTATTCTCCCACTCTTCTACAGGACTAAAACTGCTCCAAATGTGTGTGAAAACTTCATTGGTCAGATTTTCAAAAATGCTCTCAAATTGTTCTGTAATATCTGCACTTGTATGATTATCTGCTTGCAAATGAAGATAACCATTGTACATGCAAAAACATTGATTTTTATAGTATCTCAAATTTTTGGCATTTCACAAAAATGCTAATTAGACTCTCTGAGGTATGAGTGTGCAGGTAAGCACATACAAAAACTTCTGTGGATATAGTTTAGAAGGTCCCTTCTGAAAGTTTGGATGATGCTGGTTCAGGGTGGGTCCTGAGGATGCAGGTCTGTGTGTGAATGCTGACATATAGTGCTTAGTGTGTCAAGAACAGGATAGATGTGGGGATATTAAAACTTATTTTTAAAAAATTTTAAAAGTATATGTTTCCTTTTAATTCTGGTTAATATCTTTCATAAATTAGTCAAATAATTCCAAGAAGCCTGAGTAATATATTTAGTAGGGCTGTCAATTCATCGCAGTTAACTCACGCAATTAACTAAAAACAATTAATCACGATTTAAAAAAATTAATCGTGATTAATTGCAGTTTTAATCACACTGTTAAACAGTAAAATACCAATTGAAATTTATTAAATATTTTGGATCTTTTTCTACATTTTCATATAGTATTCTGTGTTGTAATTGAAATCAAAGTGTATATTGTTTATTACAAATATTTGCACTGTAAAAATGATAAAAGAAATAGTATTTTTCAATTCACCTCATACAAGTACAGTAGTGCAATCTTTGTTGTGAAAGTGCAACTTACAAATGTAGATTTTGTTGTTGTTGTTTGTTACATAACTTCACTCAAAAACAAAACTATGTAAAACTTCAGAGCTTACAAGTCCACTCAAACCTACTTCTTGTTCAGCCAATCAGTAAGACGAACAAGTTTGTCTACATTTACGGGAGGTAATGTTGCCTACTTCTTATTATTTATAATGTCACCAGAAAGTGAGAACAGACGTTCGCATGGCACTTTTGTAGCCGGCATTGCAAGGTATTTACATGCCAGATATGCTAAACATTCGTATACCCCTTCATGCTTCAGCCCCCATTCCAGAGGACATGCTTCCATACTGATGACGTTTGTTAAAAAAATAATGTGTTAATTAATTTGTGACTGAACTCTTTGGGGGGAGAATTATATGTCCCATGTTCTATATTACCTGCATTCTGCCACATATTTCATGTTATAGCAGTCTCGAATGATGACTCAGCACATGTTGTTCATTTTAAGGACACTTTCGCTGCAGATTTGACAAAACGCAAAGAAGGTACCAATATGAGATTTCTAAAGATAGCTAGAGCATTCGAGCGAAGGTTGAAGAATCTGAGGTCCCTTCCAAAATCAGAAAGGGATGAGGTGTGGAGCATGCTGTCAGAAGTCTTAAAAGAACAACGCTCCGATACAGAAACTACCGAACCACCAAAAAAGAAAATCAATCTTCTTCTGGTGGCATCTGACTCAGATAATGAAAATGAACATGCATCGGTCCGCACTGCTTTGGATTGTTATCGAACAGAACCCATCATCAGCATGGCTGGA